AAAACTTTATTTGAAGTAATTTTAGATTCATGGAAGAGTTAGAAAGCGGTTTTGTGAAAAAAAAAAAAAAAAAAACTTTATTTGAAGTAATTTTAGATTCATGGAAGAGTTAGAAAGCGGTTTTGTGTAACCTGCACCTAGGTTCCCCTAATGTTACAATAGATAGTATATTTATGAAAATGGGTATAACATTATTATTATTTTATATATGTATGTTTTATTGCACTTTAGGTTCTGGGGTACATGTGCATGGGTATAACATTATTAACTAAACTACAGTTCATATGCATTTACCTTAACACTGATGTTCTCATTCGGTCCAGATCACAAAATCACATTTAGCTGTCCTGTCTGTATTCCGTGGAGTCTTTCCTTTTGATATATGACCATAAAAATTTTAAAGAGTAGTGATCAAGTATTTATAGAATGTCCCTCCATTTTTTTTTCCCTGATGTTTTCTTATGATTAGACTGAGGCTATGGGTTTTTGGAAAAATACCGGAAGGTAATGTGCCCCTCTTACCAGATTATATCAAGGAATAGATGGTGTCAATATGACTTCTCATTGGTGATAACTTTGATCATAATCATTTGGTTAGTACGTTGTTTTTATGTTCACCTGGAATAATGTCTTCATTCATAATATTGCTTATTACATTTTCCTTTTTTGATCACTTTTATTAGAGGTGTTTGTATTTTGTTGGGTTTGATTTCCCCTAAAGAACTAACTTTGGTTTTATTTTTTATTTTTACATTTGTTTGAGACAGAGTTTCTCTCTTGTCACCCAGGCTGGAGTGCAGTGGCGTGATCTTAGCTCACTGCAGTTTCCACCTCCTGGGTTCAAGCAGTTCTCTGCCTGAGCCTCCCGAGTAGCTGGGATTACGGGCGCCTGCCACCGTGCCCAGCTAACTTTTGTATTTTTAGTAGCTATAGGGGTCTCATCATATTGACCAGGCTGGTCTCAAATTCCTGACCTCAAGTGATCTGCCCACCTTGGCCTCCCAAAGTGCTGGGATTACCGGTATGAGCCACCATGCCCAGCCAGTAACCCAGTTTTTAAGATAATGAGTTGGTTTGCTGTCATCCTCAGGTGACCAGTTAGCTTTTTAAACTTTACCAGGATGAACTCAGACTTAAACTAGTGAGGCCTACCTCACTTTGTTAAACTCTTCTCCTAGTGGCGTATATTAGGGTCTTTCCAGTTTTTCCACCAACACCACCCTTGTGTCTGTTTCGCACATATGCAGATGTTTGCTTGGGGTCATGTCGTGTGCACTTAGAGTTTTTTCATTGTGTCCTCCAAAGTATCTGTTCTTCCACCACAAGCAGAACGAGATAACAGGTCAGACCATTATTTCACCAAATTGAATGTGGGCTTAAGAAGGAACTAAGCCCACCATATAAGGTCACACATGTAACCCAAGCCAAGGAAATGAGCTCACATGTGTGACCTTATGTGAACGAATTAGTGATATCAGGATTCTCTATGACTGACCGAATTACTGCAGCCATATTAATTCATGTACGAAAAACGTTTCCCAGAATATCCAAATAATTAAAGGAAGAATCGAAGAGGATTAGAGGGCTTCAGAGGCTGGGAGGGACTCTAGTATGTAAAGGTAATTGCCTGGATGCTTTTCCTCAATGCTTTTCTTAAATTACGGAAAAGTCTTACATCCTGTATAAAGAGCAAGAAGCTCTTACTAGGGAATATGTTTTCTGTTGCTCTCTTTGTGATATTATTAATGCAAAGAAGAAATTATTTTAAAGTAGGATGATTGCGTGTAGTGAGGTAAACCCTAATGATTTGACTGAAGAATTGGTACTAGAGTCAAAAAAATCCCAATTTAGAGCTAGATTATTTTACTGTGGCCTTAAACAATTTTGTCTATTTCATTTCATTTTTCTTTTTTAAAAAATTTTTGAGACAGGGTCTTTCTCTGTCACCCAAGCTGAAGTGCAGTGGTGCATTCATGGCACACTGCAGCCTTGACCCCTCCTGGGCTCAAGCGATCCTCCTAACTCAGCCTCCAAAGTAGCTGGGACCACAGGCATGTGCCACCATGCACAGAAAAAAAATTTTTTTTTGTATGCTGCCCAGGCTGCTCTCAAACTCAGGCAGGACTCAAGGGATTCTCCTACCTTGGCCTCCCAAAGTGTTGGGATTGCAGGCACAAGCCACAATGCCTGGTTCTATTTCATATTCCTGTAATTAGAAAAGCTAACATTCACCTACATGTCTTAATATGATTAAGACTTTATAGTTTGTAGTGAGTGAAATTCAGGTATTCTTAATCACACCAGCATTAAAGTTTTGAATTGATGGGCTCGTATCTACTTTGTTAAAATTAAAGAAGTGTCATCTTAGTATTGACATAGTGTCTTGAACTTTACAACCAGTTTTCCTTTTATTTCTTGAATGACATCTAATGTAAACATTAACTATCATAAATATTAACTCAGCTGTGATGTGAAAAAAATCGTTAAGATTCATGCATGTACCTTTTAGACCAATGGAATAAGGAACCATGTTTTAGCATACTTTGGCATATTTCCATAGATATTTGTATTCTCAAGAATATTTTGTGTTGTACCTTGTTTTAGTGATCGTGGTGGAGAAGACCCAAACCAGAAAGTAATCCATGGGGTTATTAACTCCTTTGTTCATGTTGAACAGTATAAGAAAAAATTCCCCTTAAAGGTAAACAGCCTCCTTTACAAACATAAATAATCAGACTTAATTTCTTAAACTGCTTGTTCTAATTTCTTCTAATATGATGTAATTGATTTATTCAGTTTTATCAGGAAATCTTTGAGTCTCCCTTTCTGACTGAAACAGGAGAGTATTACAAACAAGAAGCTTCAAATTTATTACAAGAATCAAACTGCTCACAGTATATGGAAAAGGTAAGAAATAAAACACATTAAATAAATTTCTCTATTTGGTATCTGGCCTGGTTTTATTTCACATAATTCCTAGTATTTTTGTTGTTGCTGTTCTTTTGGCAGAAAAAGATTGTTTATTTGTTCAATAACTCTGAGTTATGGCTATTATACCATATCTACTGACAAGTCATTGCTCTTGTTATAACATTTCCTCAGAAAACAGTGCCCCTCCTGTTTCACCATAGGTGATGCTTTTTGTTGCTTGGTTTCCTTGTCCTTGAAATTAACATATATGCATATTCTTGGCAGAGTAATAAACTGGATTTCATGCTTAGTGGTTTAGAGAATAGGATAAGGGCAGAAGCTCTGTGTTTAGGTTTTTGTCTTCCTTTAAAATTAAAGGAAAAATATGAGAGAAAATAAAGCAATTCTAGACATTTGGGATAAGTCAGTAAGTCATTCTGTTGGTCTGTTAAGTTCTTGGAAGGCTGAGAAACAACCCCACTTGAGGGGGTTTTTTGTTTTGTTTTGTTTTGAGACATGGTTTTGCTGCGGTTTCCAGGCCAGAGTGCAGTGGCTTGATAATGACTCCCAGGCTCAAGTGGTCCTCCTGTCTCAGCCTCCCACGTAGCTGGGAGCACAGGCACACACCACCACACCCAGTACCTTTTAAAATTTCTTAGGCCAAACATGGTGGCTTACGCCTGTAATCCCAACACTTTGGGAGCCTGAGGCGGGTGAATCATGAGGTCAGGAGTTCAAGACCAGCCTGGCCAACATGGTGAAACCCCATCTCTACTAAAAATACAAAAAATTAGCTGGGCGTGCTGGCACGAGCCTGTAACCTCAGCTACTCGGGAGGCTGAGGGAGGAGAATCACTTGAACCCAGGAGGCGGAGGTTGCAGTGAGTAGAACCTCCACTCCAGCCCAGAATACAGAGTGAGACTTCATCTAAAAAAAATTTAAAATTTTTCTTATATAGATGGGGTCTTGCTATGTTGCCCAGGCTGGTCTCAGAACTCAACTCAAGAAGTCCTTTTGCCTCAGCCTCCCCAAGTGCTGGGATTATAGATGTGAGCTGTTGTACCCAGCCAAGAAATTGTAATTGATCACTAAACCCGTACATATTAGTTATTATATGTTAAATCCCATGTGTACTTTCTCACTAATACAAGGAAAAATGGTCATACAAATTAAATCACCGCATATAAGATATATTAGAACTCCTAGCCAGGTTTTTTCATCTGCATTGTTGGATTTCAGGCTTTTTATTTTGGGATGATTTGTGTTAGTTTATGTAGCCAAGAAAGGGCAAGTAGTGTAAGCGGATGAGCTGTCATCCTACATCCGTAGGTCACAAGTCACAAAGCATCAGTGCTTACAGATACATTCTTCTGTGGTCCACAAAGCCCTGATCTAGAGGTCTTAGTTGTTTGAGTCTCTTCCTGCTTTTGTTACTACTTAGCACTGGCCCCTGAGCAATGAGCAAACTACCCAGAACTTTTCCCCCACCAATTAAATCCAGGTTACACTAGATGAGTGTTTCTTAGCTCTTAGTCCTTTTTGCACCTTAGACTCCTAATGAAGCCTCTAGATCCAGCCCTAAGAATCACACACAAATTATCTGTCAGATATACACCTTGCTCTGTCTGGCTCTCAAAAGGATGCCACTAGCAAATGGTGGCAATAGCCCAGATGTCTGTCAGAAGTTGAAAGGATAAGCAAAGTGTGATACACACATGCATTGAAATATTATTCATCCTGTGTGGGGAAAAACTCTGTCAAACCATGTTTTTCCTCCACTCACACCACAGCCGCAGTCGTCAGCACAGAAGGCTTCTGTAAGCAGAGGCGTGACTCTTCTCCCACACACCGAGCAGCAGACGCCAGCCAGGTGTCCTCCAGTTCAACTCTAACGCCATCTACTTGTGATAGTGGCGGATCCTACAGATTGAGAGCTCAGTCTCCAAGACTGCCGTGCACATCCCCAGACACCAGTCACAAGTCTGGGCCTCCAGACTACTGACTGACTGACTTTCAAGTTGAGACTCTTTGGGTTCCATTAATTTGCTAGAGCAGCTCACAGAACGTAGGGAAACACTCACTTAATGTTTATGGTTTATTAAAAAGGATTTTTTTTTTTTTTTTTGAGACAGAGTCTCGCTCTGTTACCAGGCTGGAATGCAGTGGCGTGACCTCAGCTCACTACAACCTCTGCCTCCCGGGTTCAAGCGATTCTCTTGCCTCAGCCTCCCAAGTAGCTGGGACTACAGGTGCGCACCATCATGCCCAGCTAATTTTTGTATTTTTAGTAGAGACAGGGTTTCACCATGTTGACCAGGATGGTCTCAATCTCTTGACCTTGTGATCCACCCACCTCGACCTCCCAAAGTGCTGAGATTACAGGTGTGAGCCACTGTGCCCAGCCTTAAGAAGGATATTTTAAAGGATATAAATAACCACATGGGGAGATACATAGGGAAAGGTCTGAAATCATCCTGAGTGCAGGAGCTTCTGTCCCTGTGGAACCCAGTCTTGGATTTTTGTGGAAACTTCATGATGTCCATAGTCTTTTCCCCAGAGTATGGCGTGGGGCTTTCTCTGGGGAGTGTCTTATGACCCACAGTCAGAAAGGTGGGGCAAGATTAGAGTCCTGCCTTGAGGCAGGTGGAAGGAGGGTAGGAGAGAGATTCTGTTTCCTGAGACCTAACACACTCAACATTATAACTAAAGACTGGAACTAGGGCTAAGGGAGTTACGAACCAGGAACCCCAGATGAAAACCAATGTGCATATATATCACAGCACCACACAGCCTTAAAAAATGAAGTTCTGATACATGATACAACATGAACAAACCCTGAAAATATTAATGCTGAATGAAATAAGCCAGACACAAAAGGGCAAATATTCTATGGTTCCATTTATAGGACATACCTAGAACAGGCAAATTCAAAAGGACAGAAGGTAGATTAGAGGTTATCAGGGGAGGAGGGTGTGGGGATTTGTTCCTTAATGGCTATAAAATTTCTGATTGGGGTAATGAAAAAGATTTGGAAATAGACAATGGAGGTGGTTACAAAACATTGTGTTATTTAATGCCACTGATTGCCCACGTAAAAATGGTTAATGTAAAGTTTATGATCTATATTTTTACCACAGTTTAAAAACATTAATAATGTAATATTGGAAAACCATTGAATTGCACACTTTAAATGGGTGAATTATATAATATGTAAATCACATCTCAAAGTATTAAAAGGGAGGGCGAGGCATTGGAATAAATTAGGTTTGGAAAAGAGTGTTTAGTAGAAAAGCTTATTTCAGGCTGGGCACGGTGGCTCGCGCCTGTAATCGCAGCACGTTGGGAGGCAGAGGTGGGCAGATTACACGAGTGTAAGAGTTCAAGACAAGCCCGGGCATCGTAGCAAATCCCCATCTCTACAAAAAATTTTAAAATTAGCCAGGCATGGTGGTGTCCTCTGGTCCTCGCTGCTTGGGAGGCTGAAGTGGGAAGATCACTTGAGCTCAAGAGGCAGAGGTTGCAGTGAGCTGAGACTGCACCACTGCCCTCCAGTCTGGGCGACAGAGAGATCCTGTCTCACCAAAAGAGAAGGAGAAAGAAAAGCTCTTATCAGGAAATAATGTTGGACCATATTAGCTTCCAGGGCAAAGTCCTGGGCTTTGCTCTCCATTTAATTAATTGGGGGATGAGTCAGGACAGCCTTTCTGCCTCCCTTGCTGTGATCCTCTAGGTTTGGCTGTTCTTTTGCCCCCGGGTTTTTAGAGCTGTTTGAAGCCCTGCATTGGGGCAGTCCAACCTTGTCTACCTTTCTCTTGATATGCACCCCTCTCCCCGAAGTTACCATTGTTTTTTTTTCCTCCTCCTTTCATCCGCCTTTACCTCTCTCAGACCCACTGCAATTGCTGTTGCATTAAGCTAATTTAGCAAGCAGATTAAAGTCACAATGCTCCGAATGACTAATAGGCGTAATCCTTTTTATTTCTTACAAAAATAGCCCTTAAAGGATTCATGGTTAACCAAAGTGCCTTCCTTAGCTGATGTAATATGTGGTGAATACTTTTGTCCTCTAGTCAAGGGGTCCCCAACCCCCAGGCAGAGGATCAGTACTGATCTGTGGCCTGTTGGGAACCAGGCGGCACAGCAGCAGGTGAGCAGCCACTTTGTGAGCATTACCACCTGTCACAGCAGCAGCGGCGTTAGAGTCTCATAGGAGCGCGAACCCGTTTGTGAACTCTGCGTGCGAGGGGTCTAGGTTGCACATGCTCCTTAGGAGAATCTAATGCCTGGCGATCTGAGGTGGAACACTTCATCTGGAAGCCACCTGCCCCCACCAACGCCGCCCCCACTCCATCTGTGGAAAAAATATCTTCAAGGAGACCAGTCCCTGGTGCCTAAAAGGTTGGGGACTGCTTCTCTAGACCCCATCTTGCCCAGCCTCAGTCTGTGCCTTCGCCCTGAACTCCTGGCTTCAAAGGGTAGCACAATAGGAAACACAGGACTGTGGGACCCTGCTCAGTCCTGAGCCTCATTTTTGTTGAAAATTTCTGATACGCTTCCCAGGAATGATATGCACTCCCAGAATCGCCTTCTGGTGCCCAGGCCAACTCAGCAGCACGCTCCAAAGGACCAGGGATATACAGTTCCCCAGAAGCACTTAATTTCAGAAACCCTAACACACAGCTTCACGTTACAGAGTGCTTCCCAGCCTGGGCATTTCTATGTGTATATGTTGTTTTCTCTTGAGAGAGAAATTAGTCAAATTCTTTTATTATTTTCCTTATTGGCTAGTGTTAATATTAACCAGTGTTATTTGTACCTCAGTGCTTTAGGTAGGATAAACTTAAACAAAGGTCTTGATTGACATATTTAACTGTGGCTAAATATATATTTACTTTCAAAAATTTTCTTTTATTATTTATTTATTTATTTTTGAGACGGAGTTTCCCTCGTACTGCCCAGGCTAGAGTGCAATAGTGTAATCTCGACTCACTGCAACCTCATCTTCTCAGGTTCAAGTGATTTTCCTGCCTCAGCCTCCCAAGTAGCTGGGACTACAGGTGCCTGCCACCACGCCCAGCTCATTTTATGTATTTTTAGTGGAGACGGGGTTTCACCATGTTGGCCAGGCTGGTCTCGAACTCCTGACCTCATGTGATCAGCCAGCCTTGGCCTTCCAAGGTGCTGGGATTACAGGCGTGAGCCACCGTGCCAGGCCTTATTTTTATTTTTTTGAGGCAGTGTCTCACTCTGTCACAAAGGCTAGAATACAGTGGCAAGATCTTGGCTCAATACCCCCCTGTCTTCCAGGTTCAAGCGATTCTCCTGCCTCAACCTCACAAGTAGCTGGGATTATAGGCATGCACCACCACCTGAGTTTTGTATTTTTAATAGAGACAGGGGTTCACCACGTTGGCCACACTGGTCTCAAACTCCTGACCTCAGGTGATCTACCTGCCTTGGCCTCCCAAAGTGCTGGATTACAGGTGTGAGCCACCATGTCCTGCCCCTACTTTCAAAAATTTTAATGAAATCTTTAATGTGATAGTAAACTATCATGCACATACAGTTCCATTTTACAAGAAGAGATACCAATATAAAATAATTAGATTCATATACTTGATCTCGATATAATTTATTTTTTAGTTTGATATTCATACAGATCACCTGTTCTGATTTTTAGTCATCTGTACCCACTTTTCCTGTTACATGTTGTGTTGCCCATGTAATAGGATGAATGGTGTAGGTAAATGAAGACAGTATTTAACTTTAATTCTGGCTTATAAGACTGGTGGAAGGTAGATGACACAGCTAGTAGCTTAAATAAAAATGTGAAATGATTTATGGAATGTGAGTTTAAATTGCTTATGTAACCATTATTTCTTACCTTTGACATGTTTAATTCAGCTGTTAAAATTTGGCTATTTGCTGATATTACAGATTTTTCCTCATAGTAAAACTTTGTATTCATGACTGTAAGAATATATTTCTATAGGTCCTAGGTAGATTAAAAGATGAAGAAATTCGATGTCGAAAATACCTGCATCCAAGTTCATACACTAAAGTGATTCATGAATGTCAGCAACGAATGGTAGCAGACCACTTACAGTTTTTACATGCAGAATGTCATAATATCATTCGACAAGAGAAAAAAAATGGTAAGTGACACCAAACAAATATAAGTAGAAATTCAATTATAAATGCATCTTTTATGTCATCTTCTAGCCACCCTCGATATAATGCATATTTTAGGAATAGTCTTTAAAATATTTGAAATAACTTTTTTACAGATTATTAATAGTTTACTTTGAAAGACTGTTTTGGGAACGTGTTTTTAAAGAGTGTTCTAAAGTCAGAAGAAAAAGTGGGAAATTGTGGTTTATACTTTTTTGTATGTTACAAGAGCTAATTTCCTTAATACATTTAGAATTCCTGATAAAGAGGAATAAAGGCAGAGACTATACAAAGCAAATATAGTTAATATAATAAATATAATTATATAAAAATCAGCAATATCTGATTTTTTTTTCAAAATGCATTACTTTTATAAGCAGGAAAGATAATAAATGTGTGTTATTTATTTAGTTAGTTTTTGGAGATGGGAGTCTCACTGTGTCACCCAGGCTGGAGTGCAGTGGCATGACCTTGGCACACTGCAACCTCTGCCTCCCAGGTTCAAGCAGTTCTGCCTCAGCCTCCTGAGTAGCTTGGATTACCGGCGCATGCCACCATGCCTGGCCAATTTTTGTATCTTTAATAGAGACAGAGTTTCACCATGTTGGCCAGGCTGGTCTTGAGATCCTGACCTCAGATGATCTGATCGCCTCTGCCTCCCAAAGTGCTGGGATTATAGGTGTGAGCTACTGCACCCAGCCATAAATTGACTTTTTTTTCCCCCCATATCAGACCACTGATATGAAAAGACCACTAAGTAGTCCCAGGCTGGAGTTCAGTGGTGAGATCTTGGCTCACTGCAACCTCCGCCTCCCGAGTTCAAGCGCTTCTTCTGCCTCAGCCCCCCGAGTAGCTGGGACTACAGGCACCTGCCCCCGTACCCAGCTAATTTTTGTATTTTTAGTGGAGACAGGGTTTCAGGCTGGTCTTGAACTCCTGACCTCATGATCTGCCTGCCTCGGCCTCCCAAAGTGCTGGGATAACAGGCATGAGCCACCATGCCCGGCCCCATGTTTTTTAAAGCAACATAGATCCAGGGCAATGTAGTCAAAATCCAATAATTTTAATTCTGAAAGTCACTGTCTTGAAGTGTATGATAGAAAGAATTTAAAGGCCAGCAAGACTTAACCGTAAAAGCTATAGTAATTAAGACAGTGAGGCATTGGTACAAGGACAGACAGATATCCCAATAAAATAAGAGACCCCAGAAACAACCCATGCACATGTGGCCACTTGATGTAAGACCAAGGTGGCGCTGCAGAGCAGCAGGTAAAAGATGGTCTTTTCAATACACAATGCTCAGTCAATTGGATCTCCATTTGAGGAGAGAATGAAATTTGATCGCTACCTCAGATACCTATATAAAATCAGTTCACTGTAGATTTTTTTTTTTGAGATGGAGTCTTGCACTGTCACCCAGGCTGTAGTGCAGCACTGCGATCTTGGCTCACCGGGATCTGCCTCCTGGGTTGAAGCAATTCTCCTGTCTCAGCACCCCCAAGTAGCTGGGACTACAGGCGTGTGTCACCACGCCCAGCCAATTTTTTTGTATTTTTAGTAGAGATGGGGTTTCACCATGTTGGCCAGGATGGTCTTGATCTCCTGACCTTGTAATCTGCCCGCCTCGGCCTCTCAAAGTGCTGGGATTGATTACAGGTATGAGCCACCGCGCCCAGCCCCACTACAGATTTTTATCTAAATATATAAAGTAAAACAATAACACTTCTAGAAGATAATATAGGAGAATATCTTCATAACCTTGAGACAAGGAAAGATATTTTAAATAGGACACAAAAAACACTAACCGCAAAGGAAAGATTGATCCAGTAGACTACACTAAAAGGAAAAACTTTGGATCATTAAAAGGCCATTAAGAGGCAGGTGGATTTCTAGAGCTCAGGACTTCAACACCAGCCTGGGCAACATAACAGAATCCTGTCTCTGCAAAAAATACAAGTGTTAGCCAGGTGGGGTGGCATGCACCTGTGGTCCCATCTACTTGGGAGGCTGAGGTGGGAAGATTGCTTGAGCCTGGAAGGTGGAGGTTGCAGTGAGCCAAGATCCTGCCACTGCACGCCAGCCTGGGTGACAGAGTGAGACTCCATCTCAAAAAAAAAAAAAAAAGCCATTAAAACCACTGCATCATCAGAAGACAGTTATAGGGTAGTGTAGCTGCAATATTAGAGATTTATATCCAAAATATAACATGGTCAAAAAACAGGCACTGCAGAATATAGGATATCCAGAAGTCCAAGGTCCAATAAACATAAGGAGATAATCTCGTTAAATAAGGGAATGCAAATTAAAACCACACTAAGATATCAATACTTATATTTTTATATAAAATTTAGATGACTGGAAGGAGCTGTTGAGAAATAGGAAGTAGCAGGAGCTTGTTAAACACTGAAGTGAGAGTATAAATCAATGCAACTACTTTGGGAAGTGGCATTGACCGCTAAGCGGAATATGTCATGCATATTTTATGACCTTACGGTTCTACTCCTAAATGTATGACCCCTGCCCTCCCCCCGCACCTCCCGACTGCCAACGGCTGGATGGATGGACATGTGTACAAAAAGACATACAGGAATGTTCATGGTAATATTGTTTGTAATAGCTCCATAAACCGGAGCAGCTCAAATGTCTAGTAATGGCAGAATAGTACAGTATATTCATACAATGGAATGTTATAGAGGAGTGGAAATGGACAAATTAAAACCACGTACAACAACAGAGATGATCCTTATACATATTTTGTTGTACACAAGAAGCCAGACACGAAAGAATCCTGTGATTCCATTTTTATACATAATTCAAATTCATCTGTGATTTAGCAGTCACAGCAGTGGTTACCTTTGTAGAGATGCAAGAGTGTGTGATTGGAAGGAGCATGAAGGGGACTCCTGGGTATAGGTAATGCCTGTTTCTTATCCTGGGTGTGATTACATGGGTGTTGTGTGTTCACTTGTGATAATTCATAAGATAATACACTTACGGTTTATATACTTTTCTGTATATGTGTGCTGTTTTAATAAAATGTTTAAAATAAACCCAATACTGAGAGATCATTATTCACCAGTGTCGGAGATCAAAATGTTTATTTGGTAACACATTGTTGGCAAAGGGACTCCCTGCTGTTGGCAGCTCTGGTTAGAAGGATCTGTTTACGGCTGCGCAGGGTGGCTCACGCCTATAATCCCAGCACTTTGGGAGGCTGAGGCGAGCAGATCATGAGGTCAGGAGATTCAGACCATCCTGGCTAAGACAGTAAAACCTTGTCTCTACTAAAAATACAAAAAAATAGCCAGGCTTGGTGGTACCCACCAAAGTCCCAGCTACGTGGGAGGCTGAGGCAGGAGAATCATTTGAACCTGGGAGGCAGAGGTTGCAGTGAGCCAAGGTCAGGCCACTGCACTCCAGCCTGGGCAACAGAGCGAGACTTCATCTAAAAAAAAAAAGAATCTGTCTATAGGATTAAACTTTGACACAGCAACCTCACTTTTAGGGACTTATACTGCATATATTCTTGCTCGTGTATAAGATTATTATTGCGACAGTGAAATATCAAAAGACTGGAAACCACCTAAATTTTCATCAATTGTTAAGAAATTATAATATATCCAAATAATGGAGTACTGTGCATCTGTAAAACACGTAGAAATGCTTTATGCACTAATAGACCACTAAGTTAAAATGTGTTCTGAAACTACAAATAATATACAAAATATAGCACACTGTATTAAAAATGGTGAAGTGAAGAATACATGTATTCACTTGACTTTGCACAAAATAGCTTTGGGAAGATGTTAAATAATCACATACCTTTCCTGTGGGGAGGGGGCTTGGGTGGCTGGGAGGTGGGTGTGGGGGACTTTTCTCTGCATATTCTTGTACTTCTGTACTTGGAGCCGTATGTTACCTAATAAGTGAAAAATATTTGGGAGTTACTCATCACCTGTCTGTTTCCCTCAGACATGGCAAATATGTACGTCTTACTCCGTGCTGTGTCCACTGGTTTACCTCATATGATTCAGGAGCTGCAAAACCACATCCATGATGAGGGCCTTCGAGCAACCAGCAACCTTACTCAGGAAAACGTGAGTTGTGTGGGCAACTACAGCAGTCTCCTCCTAGTCAGATCCATCACGGAGGCTTTCCTTTGACTTTACTGCTTTGAAAAATCAAAGAAAAAGTCTTACCATGCCAACGAAAGAAATATCTTTATTCTAATGTTTTAAACGTAGAATTTGTTGGACTTCCTTTGGAATTACTAAATTATTAGAAAGCTGTTGGTGAGATAGGCTGCTGCTTACCTATTCAGAGGCGTCCATTGAACAGTTGTTAACTTTTCACAGGAAAATAAGCTTGCCATTTCTAAATAACTGTGTTTTTGTGTAATTGGCATTGATAACGTAGTTTGTTGTCATGGTACTAGTACTGATCAGTGGTAATATAGACAACTTGCAATTTGCCTACTTTGTATATTCTCTGAATTTGGTTGTCCAGGAAGCAAATTTAGATTAAAATAATGTTGTGTAAGTATATGCTTGCTGCCCAGAATACCCAAAACAGTGACCCTCATGTCCCTAATACTCATCTTTCTTGAGTATTTTGCCAATTACATGACTATAACAGTTTGTCTTTCCTATTGCCAAATCTTGTTACTACTGGTGACGGTTGATGAGCAAGAGAGACATAACATCAGATGTTACTATCTCTTTTTAAGTAGAGTTGTTTGCTCCTCATCCATTCAGGAGCACTTTTTAGAGATTGGCCTTAGCTGCAGATTGGTCTTTGGCAAGTAATAATTTTTAGTTTTAATGTTCTGCCACAATAATGTTGAAGTTTTCTATTTTTTTATTTCTTCAAATTCCTTTTCCCACACTTTTCTATTTTGTAGAACTATTAGTTTTTAGTATTCAGGTTTATCACTCTGTATTATTAATCAAACAGACTAGTTTACATTATTATGTTTATAGATTCCATGTCAAATGACATTGAGCATAGAAGCATAGAATTTTGTGTCAAGGCTGGGAGTTGGAAACATAAGTGAATACATTTGTAGTAGATTCAAATCCAGCTGACTTAGTTAACTTCTTCATGGTTATCGCCATGAAGAAGTTAACTAAGAAGAATAGTTCTAATATTAGGTATTAGAAATACCTAATAGTGCAAAAGTGAGTTTTCCCACTTATTAGGTATTTCTTCTCTCTGAGATGTGAGGGATTGTCTTGCCGAGTTCAAAGGGTCTCTGTTCTCAGGGTTACTGGCTTTGTAACTCTCCTCTCTTTCAGCCTTCGGTGACTTTGCAGTCAGTGTTTGCTTATATAAGCCTCTATGAAAGTGACAGACCTGGCAGTTCAGATCTTGTTATCCTTAAGATAAGTTATTTCAACACAGTAGAAAAGTGTGCTTTTGGTGCATTCTTCTGGCAGATACTAGACAGTCTATGAAATTAGCTTGTCGTGTTGAATGACAAGCTATTTTAAACACCAAAGTTTAAAATTTTTCAAACTGTCTTAGCTAAAACAATTTTCTGACAAGTGTGCATGTGTAAAACTTAATTTCTTTGAGGAAAAATTTACTCCTAAGTCTTTAATAAGCTAGTAGTTTTATCCTTGAACCTCTTAAAATGTGGTTTTGTACTTACATTTTACATTTTTAGATGCCAACACTATTTGTGGAGTCAGTTTTGGAAGTACATGGTAAATTTGTTCAGCTTATCAACACTGTTTTGAACGGTGATCAGCACTTCATGAGTGCGTTGGATAAGGTAAGTTTTAAATACATATATAGTAAAAGTATACAAAGCTCTATCATTCTTTAGGCAGTTTCAGGATTAAACTTCTAAGTGTGAGATTTCTGATCTAGACATGGAGATTAAGTAATTTTAATATGAAAGTCAAAATAGAAATAATAACTTTTAAATTATTTATTTATTTTGAGATGAAGTCTCGCTCTTTCACCCCAACTGGAGTGCAGTGGTATGATCTTGGCTATCTGCAAGCCCGCCTCCTGGGTCCAAGAAATTCTTCTGCCTCAGCCTCCCAAGTAGCTGGCTACAGGCGTGTGCCACCACACCCAGCTAATTTTTGTATTTTTAGTAGAGACGGAGTTTCACTTTGTTGACCAGGTTGGTCTCGAACTCCTGACCTTGCGTTCCACCTGATTTGGCCTCCCAAAGTGCTAGGATTACAGGCATGAGCCACTGCGCCCAGCAATATAACTTAAATTATTAACTGAATAGTTGAATTAAATGTTTGTGGAATTTCCCATGGTTATGCTATATAAAGGAAATTTTTAATCTGATATCTTCTGGATAGACTTGCATAATTTAAAAATTTTTTAATATTGATTTTTTCTTTGGCCATAATACTTAGGCTATATTGAATAATATTTGAAAAGAAAATAGATATGTTTTATATGAACTATTGTATACTTTAAAGGAAAGTTGCTTACAAGAGTGTAAAATTTTTTTTAAGTAGTGTTACTTTATCTGTTTCAAATTTCAGTAATGAGTTACAGAGTTATCTTGCAATAGCAACAAGATGTATAGTTATTTTGTAATTAGAGAATAAAGTCAGAGGAGTCTATCATGTTAGGTGTGAAAATATTAGCGAACTATCAGCAATGCTGTGTTTTATGTGGCAAGGTAATTTTGGATGTACAGATTATGGCTTCTATTGAACTAGCTGTACTTTTCCCTGTGGCTGGGGGTTAATTATGGCCTATCTTTTATTTAGGCACTTACATCAGTTGTAAATTACAGAGAGCCCAAGTCTGTTTGCAAAGCACCTGAACTGGTAAGTTTGGTTGTTGCTTAAAAGTAATCTTATGAAAAGTCAGTATTAGAAAATGAAAACTGAGAATATCAGATTCATTTCTTATAACATTTCTCAGAAAAATAGAAGGAAAATTGTCTACATTGTATATAATTTGGCATTTATGTAAGGAATACAATATACCATATGTCTTTTCTTAAAGAATAACCAAAAGATAAAGTATTTCATTTTACAAAGTTTGGATTTTAACATATGTCTATTTTGAAATAATTTGCATTACTTTTGATATAGATTCTGTTAAATCTGAAATCTAAAGGAAATCTGCTGGTAAAGTTTGGGTAACCTTTGAAGGAAACTTTTACAAGGTTTTTGTAACTTTTTTTAAAGTACTTGTTCAATGTCAAATTATAAAACCACTCGAAACTCACCTGGGTGTTCTTTTAAAAATTTATGTTACTTATATCAGTTGCTTTATTGGTCAGTAAGTGATGACTCAATGTTGGAATTTGGTTTAGTTCTTTTTGAAAACTTTATGATGTATATTTTATTTAGTTTACATTTATGATTATTACATATAGCTTTTGAAGCCAGGTGTGGTTGTCCATGCCTGTAGCCTGAGCTACTTGGGAGGTTGAGGCAGGAGGATCCTTTGAGCCTAGGAGTTTGAGGCTGCAGTGAGCTATGATCTTGTCTCCTGCAATTCAGCCTGGGCACAGAGCAAGACCCAGTCTCTAAAAAAACAGCAAAAACTCTGTCCATTGAACTTCTTTTGTATCACCACTTTGCCTCCGTTGAGGCGTGATATATACAGAAGCACCCTTTGTAAGATTTATTGTCAATTTCTACTTGAGCTTGCTAAGTACTGTGACAACTTACTGAAGAAGTCGGCGAAAGGGATGACAGAGAATGAAGTGGAAGACAGGCTCACCAGCTTCATCACGGTGTTCAAATACATTGATGACAAGGACGTCTTTCAAAAGGTGTGTTGTGAACAGAAAAGTTTCATTTGTGTTTTAGTCAACTTTATTACTGAATGCTAAATCATTAGAAAGGAAGTAATCTTAAAAAATATTTTTAAACGTAGTTCTACGCAAGAATGCTGGCAAAACGTTTAATTCATGGGTTATCCATGTCTATGGACTCTGAAGAAGCCATGATCAACAAATTAAAGGTAATGTAAGTCTTTAATCCTGTGCTGTCCTAGAAATTCATTCACAATCACATGAAGATGTTCATTGCAGCGTTGTATGCAGTAATAGGAAACAATTCATCTGGTTCAGTATATATTCATATATTCACACAGTGGGCTATAGAAATACTGTATTAAAAGGACAAAATATATGTTTATATGAAGATTCGCAGCTGGGCATAGTGGCTTATGCTTGTAAATCCCAGCACTTTGGGAGGCTGAGGCAGGCAGATCACTTGAGGCCAGGAGTTCAAGACCAGCCTGGCCGACATGGAGAAACCCCATCACTACTAAAAATACAAAAATTAGCCAGGAATTATGGCACATGCCTGTAATCCCAGCTACACGGGAAGCTGAGGCAGGAGAATCACTTGAACCCGGGAGGGGGAGGTTGCAGTTAGCCGAAATCATGCCACTGCACTCCAGCCTGGGTGACATAGCTAGACTCCGTCTCAAAAAAAAAAAAAGATTCATAAGCTAATTGGTATTAACAATAATTAAGATTATTGCTATTTATAAATGAATGCACCTAAAATATTCCTTTAAGTACAATTTTGGAATGCAGTTCCATTTCAGCTTAATTTTACATCATTTCAGCTTGCTTATACACTGACAAGTGGTAGCAGGTTCTTATTTATCTTGTGTTATTCAATAGTTAAATTTTTTTGCATAGTAGACATTTTGAATATAATATGTGCTCCTTTTTCTTTTTAGAAGAGATAGGGTCTCCCTATGTTGCCCAGGCTCACTCTAACTCCTCGGCTCAAGCAATCCCCTCGCCTCAGCCTCCTGAGCAGCTGGGACAACAGGCGTGTACCACTGCTTCGTTGCTGTGTGTGTGCTTCTTTTTAAACCTACAAAAAAACCCTTAGCTTTTAATTTCTAAAAGTAGTGTTGGTCAGGCATGGCTCATGCCTATAATCCTAGCACTTTCGGAGGCCAAGGTGGGTAGATTGTTTGAGCTCAGTAGTTTGAGATGAGCCTGGGAAACATGGCAAAACCTTATCTGTACCAAAAATACAAAAGTTAGCCGGGTGTGGTGGTGTGTGCCTCTAGTCCCAGTTACTCTGGAGGCTGAGGTGGGAGGATTGCTGGAGGCTGGGACGTTGAGGCTGCAGTGAGCCATGATCACATCACTGCACTCCCTCCTGAGTGACAGAGGAAGACCCTGTCTCTAAATAGGTAAATTAATTAATTGCAAAAAAAAAAAAAAAAAAGTAATGTTAATGGAATGCGGAGCTTTTTATGTTTCGAGATTAGAGATTCAGATTTTCTGACCTGGTAATGACAGGATTTTGAGTAATTTTAAAGAAATAATTTTCTTCATCACTCAGTAGATGCTATTAAAAATATGCCTAAATATCTCTTTTTCAGTTGTCTATTGGCTGAAGTATTCCCAGTAATCATTTATGTAATTTTTCATTTGATACTGTCTGTAAACCTTATAAGACCCACAGCTGTGGCATATGCCAGTAGACCCTACTGGGAGGCTGAGATAGGAGGATGACTTGAGCCCAGGAGTTTGAAGTTGTAGTGCACCGTGATGGCTCCAGTGAGTAGCTACTGCACTGCAGCATGGGCAACAGTGAGACCTGGTGTCTTTAAAACAAAACACAACAAAATCCTTGTACGGTATCTTATGTATATTAATGAGGCATTTTGCAGGGCTGAAATAAGAGATGACTGTATAAAAAAGTTTTTGTTTAAGGAGAGATTTATTGTTCGTAGATAGGTGGTTTTCATTCACCTATTTAAAATATGCCTTTAAAAAGAAAGGAAGTTTGAAAGGTTTTGATTAGTTGCTTTGGCTTATGAAGAATATATTACTAGTCCTTGGGTATAAGTGTAAATGCAAGGGCCTTTGACCAAAGACCTAGCAATAGTGACGCATTCTTATTAACCAATATGACTTTTATTTTTCTTTTAAAGTCATATATTTTCTAAAACTTTTTTATAGCAAGCCTGTGGTTATGAGTTTACCAGCAAGCTACATCGGATGTATACAGATATGAGTGTCAGCGCTGATCTCAACAATAAGTTCAACAATTTTATCAAAAACCAAGACACAGTAATAGATTTGGGAATTAGTTTTCAAATATATGTTCTACAGGTATGAATATGTGTTTTACTATGACCATTTACTAATCATTTCAGTACTTTGATACAAAGGATTCATAAATGGATACCCAATTACATTTGGTTCTGTTAGTAGATCGTGGCTTCCAAAGTTCTATTGATTTGGGCTGGGCGTGGTGGCTCACACCTGTAATCCCAGCACTTTGAAAGGCCAAGATGGGCAAATCTCTTGAGCTCAGGAGTTCCAGACCAGCCTGGCCAACACGATGAAACCCCATCTCTACTAAAAATACAAAAATTAGCCGGGCATGGTGGTATGTGCCTGTAATCCCAGCTACTGGGAGTCAAAAGGCAGGAGAATTACTTGAACCCCAAAGGCGGAGGTTGCAGTGAGCTGAGATTGTGCCACTGCACTGCAGCCTGGGTGACAGAGCGAGACTCCATCTCAAAAAAACAAAGAAGTCCTGTTGATTTGGAATGAAATGTGCCATGATAGAAATACTCAGATTTGATCAACATTTTGAGAAAGAAAAAAATTTTTTAGATGCTTAGATTATTTAATAAATGTTTACTTTCAATTCAGATGTTGATCTGTTTAGCTTTTTATTTTTCCTTCTAGGCTGGTGCGTGGCCTCTTACTCAGGCTCCTTCATCTACATTTGCAATTCCCCAGGAATTAGAAAAAAGTGTACAGATGGTAAGTTTGCAGGAAATACATTAGAAGACTAAAGGAATTTTAACAACTGTCTTTCTATTATATCACCTTTAATATTTTTTCAAGGTCTTAGGGTTCCTGTGATAAAAATAGATTCGCAAATTACAGTCAGTCTGCCTTTTAGGAAGAATATGTTATTGTAGTTAACTGATATTAAAACTAAAATGCTAACAATGTCATACAGTTCTTTGTCAAAGCATGTCTCTTATTTTTAATAAATCTGTATTCTGCTAGTAAGCAGTTTTAAATTATAAAAATTTTGATATCAGAAGAAAGCTTAGAATTCAACACTTAAAATATCACTGGTTTTCCTTTTGAATTTTGAGCAAATACCTCATTCAACCCTTGTAATATTTTTATTTCTGTCCTATAATGTAGGTAATATATGTGCAATAACTGCTAGTAGAGTAGTAACAGGGGTTGATAGTGGTCGTAGTTTCATGGAAATAGTAGAGGAGAGTCCTGTCAGGTAGATTTCAGGAAGGCAAGCCTGCTAGACTTTCAGAATAGGAGGCTAAATTAGGACTTCTTACGTCACCTTTGCAAAGAGATTGTATCATAGACTATTTTAGAAACTCTGTGAAGAAGAGCATTTGTGCAAACATTCATTGGATGGGAAGACCATAACCCAAGGTTATTACACATTTTACAGAAAGGATACATCCCAAAGTGCTGGGATTACAGGCATGAGCCACCCATTGGCAGTCTTTTACATTTCTCTTTAAAAATCCTGTGTCCTAGGAGCTGGCAGAAATGAAGTTTTCCTTTAGTTTTTTCTTTTCTCTCTCCTTGAAATAATTATTTTCTATTTATAGTTTTTAACTTCTTAAACTTTATTGATGTATAGCCTTCATCAGGTTTTAGTTCCTCCATTTACAGATAGGAAGTGGGTTTCTTTCTGTTTATAAAATTCTGATTCCAAAAATACTGTTCTCTCCATTTGGATTATCTCTAATTACCAGTAGAGGGAGTTTGTTCTTTTTTTTTCCTGATAAGTCCAAGTTTTCAGATACATGGGCTTGAACTCCATTTGTATACTTAATAGTGTACAGTTTTCACATGTAAATTAATTCTTCTTGCCTTAGTGATTTGCATTTTTTATATCTTAATCTTAAATATAACTATTTATCAAAATTTGCTTTTATTTACACCAAAGTATTTCAAAACTGTGGAATTAAAGCTGTAATTAAAAGTAATTCATTTTGCACTTTAGGCCAACAAATCTTAATTGTTATATTTCTTTTTTACCTAGGCCAAAACCTGAATAATACTAAGAAGTATCTAAAGTAGTATATATTAATGTAGCTATATATTAGAGGTAAATAAACTCATTGAATATGAAATGTTAATTTTTAAGGCTCTTTGAGATCTAATTAATGCCCTTAAAAAGTATTTGAAAAATGCTGGGTTTTATCCTACTTACTTTAAAATAAGAAGTTTAGTCAACATATGTTTCTTACTAATAAGCTTTGCTAACACAATTATTTTAATGATAGAATCAAGGAAGTTTTTATAACTTTGGTCTTTGTAGTACCACATGAATTGATGAATTTATTGGAGTCTGCCCTTGACCATCCATATAGATATGAGAGTCTTTGAGGTCAGATTATAAATGTAAGGATGAATCAATATCTTCTTTTGGCATATTGATGTTATCTTCAGTAAAACTTTACCAAATAGTACTACTGAAGAGGTAAAACATGTTTTAAAGCTTGGAATCTTAAAGACAACTTTGCACTTTAAATTATGGGCATTTTTAAGCTGGAATTTCTCATTTCCAAAAGTGTTTTGAGAAAAAAAAGATTTTAAAAAGTTTGATTTTGCTTTTGTCCAGAGATTCATTGTAAATATTTTATAGATAAATTGTGAATTATACAGTAATGACTGATTTGATTGATACCCTGAGGATTATTAATCAGTCAGATCATACTTCTGAAATCCCCTTATGATGTATTTCAGTTTGCTGTTTGTCCGGATTAGAACCAAGCAGGCAAGCTGAAGTATTCCAGGTGCTAGTCATTTCCCATTCGTCCTGCAAAGGAATTGGCGGATCTGCTGGTAAAGGAGGATGCCGCACCATTAGAGGGAAAATAGGCTCAACAAATTTCAGCTTCCCAGGACTAGGCAAACCTGGAGTAGTAACTGCTGAAAGGACTGACTGATTTTCTTGGCTGTAGCTATTAACTTTTGCTGTTAAGGAGCGGTCACAGTATATAGCTGATAGGTCAGCCATTGCTGACTGCTTTATGTGAACTTCCTTTTTAGAGTACAAAAGGTAAAGTTGATATACAAACTAAAGCTTTAAGTATGTTACATATATCATGCCAAAAGTTTGCCCAGAATTCTGAAATATGGCATAATGCAGTTCATTTTTTAGTTTTATAAAGAAATTGAATTTTTATCTTTTTCACATTCAGTATCATTTTTCCAGTTTTGTGTTTGTTTTGTTTTTAAGATAGAGTTTGGCGCTTGTTGCCCAGGCTGGACGGAGTATAGTGCTGCAATCTTGGCTCACTGCAATCTCCACCTCCCAGGTTGAAGCAATTCCTTTGCCTCAGCCTCTCGAGTAGCTGGGACTACAGGTGCACACCATCACACCCGGCTAATTTTTTGTATTTTAGTAGGGACGAGGTTTCACCATGTTGGCCAGGATGGTCTCGATCTCCTGACCTTGTGATCTGCCCACCTTGGCCTCCCAAAGTGCTGAGATTACAGGTATGAGCCACCTCACCCAGCCTCATTTTTCCAGTTTTTATTATGTACTAGCTCTTTATTAAAAAGGAACTCCGTATTTTTGTCCTGTCATTACACATTCAGTCCAGGGAGGAATGTTTAAAATTTCAAGGCTACATTAATAGAATTTAAATTTAATTGTTAGCAATAATATCAGCAAAAGAATATCCAGAGACACACCATAAAACTTAATATTTGTGTCTGACTGGATGTGGAAGTTATATGTTAGCAAATGGGAGATTAGAAATGAAGGTGGGGCGGGTGTGGTGGCTCACGTCTGTAATCCCAGAGTTTTGGAAGGCCAAAGTGGGTAGATCTCCTGAGGTCAAGAGTTCGAGATCAGCCTGGCCAACATGGAGAAACCCTGTCGCTACTAAAAATACAAAATCAGCTGGGTGTGGTGATGGGCACCTGTAATCCCAGCTAGCTACTCAGGAGGGTGAGGCAGGAGAATTGCTTGAACTCAGGAGGCAGAGGTGTCAGTGAGTCGAGATCTCACCATTGCACTCCTGCCTGGGCAACAAGAGTGAAACTCCGTCTCAAAAAAAAAAAAAAAATGAAGGTGGGGTTTCTGTTTTCATGGTGAAATATATATATTGCTGTGTTTGGTTAGTAAGTGGAATTTATAAAGTCCATGATAGTATCATTCAGAAATGGTAATGAGTCACTGACTATGTCATTTCTGATTTCATACAGAGCAACGCTGTGGTTTAGGGGAGAAAACCCTAGAACAGGTTGTCAATTAAAAGAGCTGGAATACTATGTGTGTATGACCTTGATTAGGGACCACAGGAACGTGCTTTCTTCTCTGTGAAAGGAGATGGTATACCAGATGGGCTATAATGTCTTTTCTAATGTGAATGACTTTTATTGCCTTTGTTGTATAGTGTTAATTAACTAGGTAAGTTATAGTAGCTAAAAATAATGTGTGTGTGTTTTTTTTACAGTTTGAATTATTTTATAGCCAACATTTCAGTGGAAGGAAACTTACATGGTTACATTATCTCTGTACAGGTAAAATGCATTTAATTATATCTGGCTTAGTGAAATTTACCTGATATGATTATATTAATTTAGAAAGAAATTTTCTATGTCCCAATTATAATTTTTAACCTTTTCTCCTCCATCAGCCTTTCTCCATTAACACAACTAACAATGAGATTCAAGTATAGCACTTTTTAATAGTATTTGATAATTATACTGTTTATAATCTAGCTGCTTTCAAATAAATGTTCTGACTTTATACTGACTTATTACATTTCTGTAGCCAACCACTACATTAGCAAATTTATTTAGAAACTCAGATCTGATGGGTCAGATGCAGTCAGAAACTTGTATGCCAGATCCCCTTGCCAATTTCATTATTATAGCATCAAAAGGAGACCTAACCATTTGATTTTTACTTGTCGTACTGCAGTAAAGCAATAGTAAAGCTTTTTGCAGAAAGTTCCACTTAATTTTCAATAGTTGCTAATTTTTAAAAACTTTAATCAGAATCTAATTTCCTTTGCTGCTTTCTGGAACAATGGGGTCGACTTATTTACAGTAAGATTAATGTGTTTTTATTATAAGATTAAGAAGCATTGTGAACTGTTAGTGGTTGCCTTTAGTCACCTGAAGTTGTAAGCCAGAAGAAACACTTGAATTTTATGTTTTTTTTTTTTTTGCTAAAATATGCTTTGACAAGTTCATTGAATCACTTTTCCTTTGTACAAGAAGGAAAGGATATATGTGCTAATATTTCTTAGAAGTGGTACAAGAAAATCATTTGCTGTAGCTTTTATTAAGAAATGTTTTCTATCCCCTCCCCAAGAGAGATTTCATCCTAGAAACTATGATACTTGCTGTTTATTTGACTAATTTACATCTTGGGAACACGATGGCTTGTTATATTAGTAATACATTTTGCATTATTTATATAAGGTTATCGTTATTGAGCAAGTTGGACATTCTAATTTTTTAAATATTTTTTGAAATAAGGAGATTTTCATTGATGCTCTTAATGGTCAAAGATCAAACTTTTTTTTTTACCTTTAGCTTGGCATAGTGGCTCACACCTGTAATCCTAGCACTTGGGGAGGCTGAGGTGGGTGGGTCACTTGAGTCAGGGAGTTCGAGACCAGCCTAGGAAACATGGCAAAACCCCATCTCCACTGGAAATCCAAAAATTAGCCAGGCATGGGGGAGCACATCTTTTAGTCCCAGCTACTTGAGAGGCTGAGGTGGAAGGATCACTTGAGCCCAGGAGTTCGAGGCTGCAGTGAGCCATGATCATTCCACTATACTCCTGCCTGGCAATAGAGCAAGACCCTATCTCAACCAGTCAATCAATAAGTTGACCTTTAATTTTACAAATTTTCTATTTCCATTTTGTAAATAAAGGAAAAAAATGCTGGATCAGGGTTTTAGATTTTTTTTTTTTTTCTGAGAAAACTAATATATCTTAGTGTAGTTCGATTTAGCTTCCTTTTGTTTTCCATGAATATATCTGTCTTGGGGAGTTTAAACTGTTGGTTATTCTCAATATTTCAGCAGCAATCAACATGTCTCCTAAAGTAATTTTAATAAGGGGCTAATTTTTTTCATAACAACTAGTGCTGTATAGGAAGAAAATAAATTTATGCACATAATTTTTTAGCCATTGGAATTGAGTCTGAAAATAGTCACCAATATCACCTAAATAGGAAAGAGAATAACTTTCTTTCTGTTTTTGAGCTATACTAAATTTCCGTGCTGATACGTAATAATTTGATTTGGGGAACTCTTTTGTTTGTTCATTTCTTTTATCTTAATATTATTTGTGTTTTAGTTGAAACCAAGTAGTTAATTCCTTTGTAAAGATAACCTTATAAGTTCATTTTTTGTTTTGAATCACCTAAGGCACTGAAGTAAATCACACCTGTGACCTATCAGTGACTTTCTTCCCAGCTTTATTAAGCTATAATTGACACATAAAAATTGTATATATTTATAGTGTACACGGTGATGCTTTGCTATATGTTTATATTGTAAAATGATTAACTCAAGCCAATTAACATAAGTAGCGTCTCACGTACTTTTTTTGTGGTGAGAACATTTAAGATCTGTCATAGCAGTTTTCAAGTTTTACTCTGCAGTATGATTAACAGTCACCATGCTTTACCATAGGTCTCTAGAACTTACTGGTCCTAACTGAAACTGTCTCCTTTGGCCAACATGTTTTGTTTTATTGTTGTTTTCCGTTTATTCATTTAACAAAAAGATTCTCACACACTGTGTGTATTGGAGATGCTTGTTCTAGATGACCCATGTATGGCCTAAGGCTCCAAGACTTCTTTACAACATTGGCTCTGAGGCTGGACAGATTGCCCAGAGTTCTGTTTCTTGAGAACTGCTGTTACTTCTACTTAAATATAGAATGAAATTATTCCCTCCTACTCCGTTTCTCCATTCCCCGATCATTGAATACCCAAGAAAAGGTCAATTTTTGTATTGTAAATGAAGAGTCTTTACATATGGTTGATGGTACACAAAGTGGTATTTGGGGGAATTTAGAATCAGTAGACCTGTGGTTGAGTTATTAGCCCACAACTTAACTAGCTGTGTAATCTTGAGCAAGTTACTCCCCAATATCTGTGTCAGGCTCCTTTGAGCCTGTTTCCTTATCTTTATCTTTGTAAAATTCATTGATTAACTCAGACAGTGTCGACAGTGGACAGAAATAAAATACAGAGCCTCAACCCTCAAAAAAAAGCTCATGTCTAGTAGGAACACAGGCAAGTACATAGGGACCATACAGTGTTTTGAATGCAGTAGAGGCCAGCCCGGGGTACAGAATGGTGGTGGCAGTCAGGTCCTGGCAAGGGAAGGCTTCTGGGGAGATCACACCTCAGCTCGTTTTCAAGAATAGGACCAGGTTCAGTGACTCACATCTATAGTCTAGCACTTTGGGAGACGAGGCAGGAGAATCCCTTGAGCCCAGGAGTTCAAGACCAGCTTGGGCAACATAATGAGACCCTGTCTCAGGGAAAAAATAAAAACCCCACACACACATAAAATATAAAAAGAATGAATAGGACTTAACCAACCTAGGTGAAGGAGAGTGTTGATAGTGTATTACTAACAGAGGTCAGAATTTTAAGAAACAGTCCGTGACGCCAGCTGTGACAGAGTGAGAAAAATCTTGAGAATTCCGCTGGATTTATGACCAGGGCTTTGGATAGAATTAACCGTAAGGAATAATTTGATAAACCGTAAGGAATAGTTTGATAAAAACATGCAGACACTTGATGAAGAGATATAACCAGACAGTGTAACAGAAACCATTACACTGTCTGGATATAAATAAGTTTTGTTGGTGGCAAAGCAAGAAGTTGCAGAGATTCCTGGTCAGTTGCTGAAAGACATGTTGAGAAATGATGAACTCAGGAAAGATAAAACTTCACCAGATAGTACATAGTATGGATCAGGCTAGAACTTTGTGAGCTCTAAATCATCGTATGTGTTGGTAGTTACTATTGTTTGGTAAAATGAAAGTAACACCATCTAACTGTGCATACCTTACAAGATAACGATTCTATTCACTAAATTCGTCTCGTTTTTGTTTTCAAATACTTCCAACAGCTAAAAATAGGGAGGGGTGTTAATATTGTCTAATGTCCAGTCCATGTTCAAATTTCCCTGATTGTCCCAAGGTGGTGGCTTGGCTGTCAGAGGTCACTAAGTGCATTTGGTAGTCAGTCTCCCTTCCACCTCCCCACCCCTCAGCATTCTCTGACATACTGTTTTGAATAGACCAGGCCAGTAGTCTTGTAGAATATCCAGTGCTCTAGATTTGTTGGATTACTTATTTGTGATTTTTAACATTTGTTTTCTATTCCTCGTATTTTCTGGAGGGTGGAAACTAGTTCTAAAGGTTCGATTATACTCAGTCGAGTATTGTTGGTAAGGATATTTCATAGGTGGCCCTGTGTATTTCATATTGCATTATATCAAAGGCATCTAATGTCAGATTGTCTCACTATTAGAGACGCTAAATTTGGTCACTGATCAAGGCAGTAACCACCAGATATCTCCATTTAGAGGTACTCTTTCCCCTTTTCAATTAGCTTAGCAGGCAGTCTGAGGGATGATGCTTTGGCTCGTGAATACCCTGTTCCAGGAACTGAATGTAGTTTTAGCCTTCACTGATGATCCCTGCCAGAATCAGTCGTTTCGTTACTGATGGCAAGTGGTGTTACTCTATCATGCCTTCAACATTGATTAACTAACATTCTTTTGTAAAGGAAAGCTTTCCCGAGAGTAGAGAGCTGACGCAGATGCTGGGGAGTGTTCTTGGATGAAACTGTTGTGAGAGTTCAGCCCACTCTTTATTTCCTGTCATTATAACTGCTGCTTGAATTATGGTTGGCTTGCTTTAATTATGCATGTATCAGAATGTTTTGTTTTAGTTTTTAGTTTCTTAGGGTTTGCCAACTATTCTGCAGGGTAAATCACCACTCTTTTCATTTCTCTGTTTATATCACAGTAATTAAATGAATCATCCAAGTTTGGGATTTCCTTTCCTACCCCTCTGTAGGATTCCCACCGCCTCCCCAGTCTTTTCAGTAAGAGCACATTGCTAAGAAAAGTGAGAAGAGGTCATTGTACCCCTGATCCTTGGTAAAGTCTTGAAAAGTAGGAAGAAAGGGCACAATGCAAGAATGAACTTAATAGGAAGCAAGTGATGCTTTGCCCCCTCGCACAATCTGCTAATGCTCTTTGAGTCTCGTGGTGCTGAAAGACGACTTTTGTGTGGCAGAAGGCTCATTCTGTTTTCAAACCCATGGCAGGATATTATAGCATCAGTGACATCCTGGCTGATGATCCCACTTAATCATCTGTGTGCTTGATGCATACTTTGCTGCTTGTTTCTGCATATGATGAAGTCATTGCAGAAATAACAAAATGCAATTTTTATGTTTTACTTCTTACCACATTTTCCAAACTTAAATGTTGATGAGAGTCCTGTTTATAGAGAGTGTTAATAGTATACTCCAAATGATAATTTTTTACATGAGCTGTTTCTATGAATTGGATATTGAATTATATATATATATATATATATATGAATAATTTTTTTTTTTTTTGAGACAGAGTCTCGCTCTGTCACCCAGGCTGGAGTGCAGTGGCACAACCTCAGCTCGTTGCAACCTCCCCCTCCCCGGTTCAAGGGAGTCTCCTGCCTCAGCCTCCCAAGTAACTGAGATTACAGGTGTGCATCACCACACCCGGCTAATTTTTTGTATTTTTAGTAAAGACACGGTTTCACTGTGTTAGTCAGGATGGTTTTGATCTCCTGACATCATGATCTCCGTCTGCCTCGGCCTCCCAAAGTGCTGGATTACAGGCATGAGCCACCATACCCGGCCTGAATTTAATATATTAAACATCCTTTTGTGATAATTTAAAGGGTTAGAAATTTTTTCTCTTGGTATTTCCATCCAAATAATTCTGAAAAACATTTCCGAATATCAGTTTTATCTGAAATAAGTCAAGGCATAAATGAAAATAATCAAGATAATATTGTAATGGTGATATTAAGCTAATGAATTGACTCATAGCCTTAAAAATCTTTAATTAGGTAATGAATAAATAAAGGAAGCAGAAAACCTTAATCAGGGTTACTAATTATCCTTGAGAGGGAAAATTCAGTCTCTGGGGTAATTTCATGTGAAATACAGCTTCCTTGAGGTAACAATGAAGAGCTTTAAAATAAAATCTCATGTTGATTTTATTTATAATCTATTCAGCAGTCAAATAACGCAGGCCGTGTGTGTGTGAGAGTCACCAAACCACAGCTTCTTGCTTCAGGAAGCAGTTCTTGATTTGCATCACTTTTTTTTACATGTTATGGAGCATTACAGAGTGCAGACATGTTTGTCCTATTATTCATTATGCACTTTCCAGCGTGCTGATGTCATGCTGCTGTCTCCCAGGATGTTGCAGAACTGTAGGATGTGTAATACTTGCTCTGTCTCTTAGAGCTCTCTTTTTTTGAGACAGATACTCACTCTGTCGCCCAGGCTTAAGGGCAGTGGTTGCAACTTGGCTTGCTGCAACTTCCGGCTCCCAGCTTCGAGCAATTCTCATACCTTAGCCTCCTGAGTAGCTGGGCTTACAGGCATGTGCCATCATGCCTGGCTAATTTTTGTATTTTTAGTAGAGACAGGGTTTTACCATGTTGACCAGGCTGGTGTCAAATTCCCGGGCGCAAGTGATCTGCCTGCCTCGGCCTCCCCAAGTGCTGGGATTACAGGCATGAGCCACTGTGTCCGGCCCACATAGAACATTTTTATGAGACATTCAGATTAAATGTATTTTAAAGTTTAACCTATCAACTATTTTAATAAAAGAATGGGTCTGCCTATTTGTCTCTCCTTTCATACCTGTTTGCCTCTAGGAAGTTACTAGAAAGAAAAATGTTATTTATGAGACATAATAGCATTAATTTTGGCAGAAATTACGGCTTAGACAGGGCTGCAAAAGCATCTTCCCTGTGGCTGTAGACCTCCTAGGAGGCTTGAACCTTCCCCGGAGAGCCCAGATTTCGACAGTACTTGAGGCAGTTGCTGGTATCACCTTCCCCTTTACCCATTCGCCTTCTCCCACCTCCTTTTATTGTTTGGTTTTGTTGTTGTTGTTGTTTCTGCTTAAGTCTTGGCCTTTCTATTAATATTTAAAGACTTTTTTTGTTTTTCTGAGACGGAGTCTCGCTCTGTCACCCAGGCTGGATTGCAGTGGCGCAATCTCCACTTACTGCAGCCTCCACCTCCCAGGTTCAAGCAATTCTCCTGCCTCAGTCTCCTGAGTAGCTGGGACTACACGCATGTGCCACCACGCCCAGCTAATTTTTGTTATTTTTAGTAGAGACGGGGTTTCACCACATTGGCCAGGCTGGTCTCAAACTGACCTAAAGTGATCTTCCTGCCTCAGCCTTCCAAAGCGCTGGAATTAACAGGCGTGAGCCACTATGCCTGGCCTTAAAGACATTTTTTTTTAACCTACTGGTAAAGTTATGGTAGCTTAATTGATTTATACTATATACTCAAAACTAATGGCCTTTCATCCTCACCTCCCTGAGAAACAAAATGACTACATTGTTAACAGCAATGGGTGTACAACAATTTAATAAAATTATTGGTTCACTCTTTCAGAAGAAAATGTCTGAAATAAACAATTATTACTCAAGCCATTTTGAAATGTTTCTTTGAATGGTGAGTTCACTGTCAGCTTTTGTTTTAATTGTAGGTGAAGTTAAAATGAACTATTTGGGCAAACCGTATGTAGCCATGGTTACAACATACCAAATGGCAGTTCTTCTTGCCTTTAACAACAGTGAGACGGTCAGTTATAAAGAGCTTCAAGACAGCACTCAGATGAATGAAAAGGAACTGACAAAAACAATCAAATCATTACTTGATGTGAAAATGATTAACCATGATTCAGAAAAGGTATGCAGTTATATTCCAAAGAATTTAAGCATCATCAACATTAAATCTTTTTCATGAGACGTTTGCAGTTTTAAAGTAAGGCTGTAATTGTCAGTGTGCCCTGTTCTCTGGAAGGCACTTGTATCTGCTGCATGACTGCGCGCTCCGTAGAGCTGGGAGCGTAAGGCATCACAGAACATGCTGTGTGAGTTGGTGCCATGTACCCTTTATAGTTTGATTTTATTTATTCTATACTGTGACAGCTTATTGAATAATTGCAGAATTGCCATCTGGAAGATTTGGATTAACTGAGGTTTTGAAACTAGCCTTTAAAAAGACTTTCTAGGCTTTTGTTTTTTTTAAATGTGCTTAATTTCATGGTTCTGTAACAGGAAATGACAGCCTGTTGATGTCTATTTGTATACATATTTAATATGTGTAACTCCATTCCAAGTGTTCTTAATTTCAGTAATTTTTTCTAGTTATAAGATTTTGTTGCTTTATTGTCATAGTATATCCTAGATGTTTAAATGGTTAAAAATGCAACAGAGGTGCTGGGATCGTATATCTCCTTCAAATTATTGTGCTTATAAGAAAAAGATTCCCATAAATAATGTTTTGTTTTTACTTTGGTAAATTAATAACCTACAGCTTATTTCTCTCATCAGTTCATTTTGCTGACATTCCTAAGATTATGATGACATTTTATAGTCTATAATTGACCAACTGTAAAAGGTATATATTCTGAAATTCAAATCAGTGTTTTCATAACTTTGAGAAATTATTAGTTTTTCTGGCTTCAGAATCTTAGCAAAATATGGATTTATTTATTTTTTTTTTTGAGATGGAGTTTCGCTCTTATTACTCCGGCTGGCGTGCAATGGCGTGGTCTTGGCTCACTGCAACCTCCATCTCCCAGGTTCAAGCGATACTCCTGTCTCAACCTCCTGAGTAGCTGGGAGTACAGGCACGTGCCACCACACCTGGATAATTTTGTATTTTTAGTAGAGATGGGGTTTCACAATGTTGGCCAGGCTGGTCTTGAACTCCCGACCTCAGGTGATCCAGCAGACTCAGCCTCCCAAAGTGCTGGGATTACAGGTGTAAGCCACCACGCCCCGTCAAAATAGGGATTTCTTAATGTTAATTAATTATGGTTTTTAATTTTAGGCTAGTAAGTGCTTAAAGGTTTTATATTTTTTTCTAAAACATGCTATTTTTGCTGCCCAGATATGTACAAAATAAACATAGATTTCATGTTTGCACTTTAAATTTTATTTTATATTATTTTTATTTATTTTTGAGACAGGATCTCGCTCTGCCACCCAGGCTGGAGTGCAGTGGTGCCATCTCAGCTCACTGCAACCCCCACCTCCTGGGCTCCAGTGATAATCCCACCTCAGCCTCCCTAGTAGCTGGGACCATAGGTGTGAGCCACTACGCAAGGCTAATTTTTTAAATTTTTTCTAGGGATGGGATTTGCTGTGTTGGCCAGGCTGGTCTCAAACTCCTGAGCTCAAGCAGTCTGCCCATGTCAGCCTCCCAAAGTGCTGGGATTACAGGCATGAGACACGATGCCTGGCCTTTAAATTTAATTATGAATCTGCCCATTCCTTAGCAGAATGTCTTAGATTATTATTGAGAATTTTTTCATCTTCCAAGTGCCTCTTGATCCCGCTGCCAGAGAAATTCCACTCGATGGTATCAGTGGCTTTCTTAAGCCTGATACAGAAGTTGTTATTCTGAAAATTGGCTTACAGTGTTCCCCTGAGCAAAGGCCACTTGCTTCTTGAAAAGTGAATAAAACATGGATTGCAGGGTAATCGCCTTCACCGTCACCCCAGGTCACGGCAAATTGATGCCGTGTGCTGCTGGAGGCCATGACAGTGGGTATTTTCTTATTGCAGCATTTGTAAAACAATTTGGTTGTTTGGTTTTTCAAAATGAGGTGATGGAAAAGTTATGAACTTCGGTGTTTCATGAAAATTAAAATGTTAAACTATAGGCAATGAGCTTGACTCTTACCAAAAGGTAGTATATGTAACACTAGGATCAGAAAATAGCTTATTCCTAAATATAAACTGCTTAAGATTCTGGCAGATGTAAAAGTAGAAAATAATTGGGTTTTTCCTGTTTGTTTGAACAAGAGAATTTTCTCTTAAATTTAATCTGTAATTTATAATATGAAAAAGCTGTGAGAGTGGAGGCTTTTTTGCTTTATCATTTATGTATCAGCGTTGCTTGCAGCAAGCTGTTATTTAATGATTTGGGTTTTTATAAATATAAATTTTATTTTTAAATGTAGGAAGATATTGATGCAGAATCTTCGTTTTCATTAAATATGAACTTCAGCAGTAAAAGAACAAAATTTAAAATTACTACATCAATGCAGAAAGACACACCACAAGTAAGTGCTTTTAGTGTCGTGTTGTTTTGGGGGACAAACATTTAAGCATTGGACTTCACAAGTGTAATTTACATTGAGATTGTCAGAACTTTATGCAGCAAAGTTAATAATAGGATACGGCTTTTCTGGTTTGTTGTTTGCATTTACTAACTTTACAATCAAACAGAAATCTCTACTTGTATTTTAGTTTTTTCTAAGGAAAAAGGTATGGTTTTGTTGTATTTGCTTTTTTTTTTTCTTTAACAACAGAGTCTTGCTCTGTTGCCCAGGCTGCAGTGCAATGGTACGATCTCAGCTCACTGCAACCTCCACCTCCCTGATTTAAGCAATTCTCCTGCCTCAGCCTCCTGAGTAGCTGGGATTACAGGCACACACCACCATGCCCAGCTAATTTTTTTGTATTTCTAGTAGAGATGGGGTTTCACTGTGTTAGTCAGGCTGGAGTATTTGCTCTTAAACCATTGGACTGTGTAACTTTGCTTTGCATTTTCTCCAAAAATTCCCACATTGAGAAGTAATAAAACCTCATATTTTTCATTTGTAAAATCAAGTTATACAGCTCTTTTCTTTCAAAGAAAACTTGTCAGTAGAAAATGCTTCTTAAACTTACATATGCAAATGAGCCACCTGGGCATCTTGTTAAAATGCAGATTATGGACCAGTTGCAGAGTCTCACGCCTGTAATCCCAGCCCTTTGGGAGGCCGAGGTGGGTGGATCACCTGAGGTTGGGAGTTCGAGACCAGCCTGACCAACATGGAGAAACAATATCTCTACTAATAATTAGCCAGGCATGGTGATGCATGTCTGTAATCCCAGCTACTTGGGAGGCTGAGGCAGGAGAATCGCTTGAACTTGGGAGATGGAGGTTGCGGTTGAGCCGAGATCGTGCCATTGCACTCCAGCCAGGGCAACAAGAGCGAAACTCCGTCTCAAAAAAAAAAAAAACAAAAACAAAAACGCAGATTGTGATCTACTGGGTGTGGAATGAGGTCTTGACTCCTGACAGGCCAATGTGAGTAGGGGACTTCTGCTTTTCGTCCTTTTAACTCAGCAGTGATTGTTGATTTGGTCTGGGATAGACTATTTCTCTATCACTTAGGCTTCCTGATTGCCTCCCGTGTGCAGTCCTGGGGCTGGCGCAGGATGTGAAGCTAATAGAAGACGTTAGACCCTCTCCACAAACTTAATTCCCCATGGTGGAGACAAATATGAATTGCCATTTACTTTGAAACCTAAAGTGGTCAAGATTCCATTTTCCTCTAAGCTAATAAATAATAATTTGAAGTATATAGATTGTATTTTGTCTTCGAAAAGCTGTGAGGAGATCCTATTAATGTGGCATCGCCTGCTTCTATGTCTTGCTTCTCCTGTGTTTCTTGAGCTCCGTGGCTCCATGGAGATAGGCCCCGTCTCTTGGCTTCTCTGCTTGAGCCAAATAAAATGGCACTTCACAGCTCTTCCCTTTGAAGCCTGATCCAGTATGCATTTGGAGCTAATTACCGCAGTTGACACAACTCCATCTAAAAGCATCGTGATACAGATTCTGTAATCACTGAAAAGAAAATGGTCTTGCAAATTATTGCTGTGTCCTCCTTTATTGCCTCTTTCCTTAACAGCACAGTTTATAACAATGTAAATTTTTTCTAATGACTTTCAACTTTAACCCTAGAAACTGTAGATGTTTTCTCAGTGGTTATGTGATATTAACACAACAAAACTGTATAATTTGCTCACTACTGATTAGAAATTTATTGTTGTGGCACATGCCTGTAATCCCAGCAGCCCAGGAGGCTGAGGCATAAGAATCACTTGAATCCGGGAGATGGAAATTGCAGTGAGCCAAGATCGCATCACTGCACTCCAGCCTGGACGACAGAGTGAGACCCTGCCTCAAAAAAAAAAAAAATTTATTTGCACTCACTGATAAAATGAATTTAAAGCACATTCAGTGACTTGATGTCTTGTTGGCTCTTTTTTCTTCTGTAAAACAGGAAATGGAGCAGACTAGAAGTGCTGTCGATGAGGACCGGAAAATGTATCTCCAAGCTGCTATAGTTCGTATCATGAAAGCACGAAAAGTGCTTCGGCACAATGCCCTTATTCAAGAGGTAAAAGGAGGGCAGTCCTCAGGGCTTCTTAGGGTAGAGGGCATTGTCAGTGTACAGAGTCAGTCTCTTTCTTCTTAAAGAGGATACAGAAATAAACTGATCCTCAAATAGCATAAAGAAATGTTTCATACTTACTCAGAATTGTACTCGCTTCTAGTTTCAATATTAAATTCAGATTTGCAGGCTAGGCACAGTGGCTTATGCCTGTAATCCTTTGTTGTTGTTGAGACGGAGTCTTGCTTTGTCGCCCAGGCTGGAGTACAGTGGCATGATCTTGGCTCACTGCAACCTCTGCCTCCCGGGTTCAAGTGATTCTCCTGTGTCAGCCTCCCGAGTAGCTGGGAATGCAGACATGCGCCTGGCTAATTTTTGTATTTTTATATTTTTGTATTTTCAGTAGAGATGGGGTTTTAACTTGGCCAGGCTGCTCTTGAACTCCTGATCTCAGGTGATCCACCCACTTTAGCCTCCCAAAGTGTGGGATTATAGGCGTGAGCCACCACGACTGGGGAGCACCTGTAATCTGAATGCCTTGTTAGGCCAAGACAGGAGGATCAGTGGAGTCCAGGAGTTTTAGACCAGCCTGGGCAACATAGAGAGGTAACCCCATCTCACCAAAAAATATCTTAAAAATTAGCCCAGGTGTGGTGGCATACACTTGAAGTACCAGCTACTTGGGAGGCTGAGGTGGAAGGATTGCTTGAGCCTGGGGAATTGAGCCTGGATGACATGGTGAGATGCTATCTAGAATAATAATAAATTCATATTTGCTTTGGCTTTATTTTAGAGCTCTAAAACTTGCCAATTCATTGAGTCTTCTGTTCAGTTATTGAAGGAAGTTGACACATCAGAAACTCATTCATTCCATAAATATCTGAGGCTACCATGTGATAGATGGCCAGGCTGCTCACTGGGTTGTACAGAGCAGCTGAAGATGCGGCAGGCCCTTTTAGAGTTCACAGTTGAATGGGGAAGGATTACACTATTGAAATAGTGCACAAATAAATATAAAATTACATTAGCATGCCCTGAAGGAGAGGTACACGGTACCATGAGAATGCATTTAAGTGTTCTGACCTAGGGGATACTGGGAAAACTTTCTGGAGAAAGTGGTGTTTGAACTAAGAGCTGAGAGTTGAGTTACAGTTAAATAGAAGCTTGGGGTTGTGTGTGAGTACTTAGATTAATTAGTTTATTGTTTCACTTAATGATGTGTCATTATTAGATTTTGCTGTATCTGTTTTCCACATTTTAGTTCCTATTTTCAGACTTCATTCTGCCCGCTTGCTGAAACTTCAATGCATTTGGGACACTTTAAACTGATTGGTTAAAAGTCATTACCTACAGCTGAAGAACGGGCAGTAGTTTGACTTCCACGTCTCTCTTCCACAGGTGATTAGCCAGTCAAGAGCTCGGTTTAATCCCAGTATCAGCATGATTAAAAAGTGTATTGAAGTTCTGATAGACAAACAGTACATCGAACGCAGCCAGGCGTCGGCAGATGAATACAGCTACGTCGCGTGATGTCGCTCTCCCCCAGCGTGGTGTGAGAAGATCATTGCCATCACCATTTGGTGTGTTCCTGTGGGAAAAAGCAGGCCTGTGCCTCCATAATTTGGTCATTTGGCAGCCCCTGTTTTCTGCTGTTTACAACATCACCAGTGCCACGTCATGAGCGTCAAAGAAAATGCCTAGAGATATTTCAAGCTCATGTCATGATGACATTTCTTAAAACTTTATTAAAAGAATGAGTGAAGTATTGCTGAAATGTGGAAAGTTGGTTGGGTACCATGCTTTTTCTCCCCTTCACGTTTGCAGTTGATGTGGTTTTTTTTTTTTTTTAATGTATCTTAAAGGACATAAAATTTAAAAACTTAAATATTGTAATATGACAGATAACCTAATAATTGTATCTACATTAAAATGACAAACATGATACTGCTGCTTGTCAAATAAAAAAAAAAATAAAGAAATAGAATGCCTTTTTTATGTGAATGGAGTATCAGGTTGACCACAAAATATATAGACTCAAAGCAGCGAATGGGCATCTTTAGTTGCATTTTTATCTGAGTGGCTTAATTTACTTGTACTTCTATTTAAATCCTACATGAAAAATGTCTAGATAATTGTTCTTGAATGCACTGGACTGCATTCAGCATAAAGAATGTTTTATTTTTATGGATTAGATATATTGGATCTAAGCATTTTGAATCTTGAAGATGTAATTCCATCGGCAATTTCTGGTGGTGCATTACCCCACAGACGTCGCAGAGTGTGAGCAGGATTCGTGGTGACCTCAATTCTGGCACAGAGAGAGCTTTTCATTCAAAAGTTGTCTTTCTTCTGTTGCATAATGCATTAATTCTAGCATAGACTAATATCCTAGCTCTATGGCCTTCCCTGAGTCTTAGGAGACCCCGTGGTACCAATGTATTCCTTCCATATGCCTCCCCTACCTGTTCCCTTACAACCCTCCTCAGATAGTTTATGTACTAGAGTCACTCTCATCAGTCACAGGTGTGCTTAGCAATGCATAACCTAAATATTGTACACTGCACCAGATGCCACTTACATATAAATCTCATTATTTTGTTTATTATATATATCAACAGCAGTGTCAGAATACTGCAGTGTATTATATTTATTGTCTGTCCACGCCATCACCGCCACCACACCCCTCTTCCCTCAACACGCAAATTTTTTTCTTTTTCAAAAGTAAGAGACGGGATTTTGCCATGTTTCCCAGGCTAGTTTAGAACTCCTGGCCTCAAGCAATCCTGTCTCCGTCTCCCAAAGTGCTGGGATTAGAGGCCTGAGCCACCGTGTCCGTCGAACATTCAACTTTTAAAATCCGGAATATTTAAAAGCAAATCACAGAAATTATTTCACTTTTAATACTTCAGTTTTTATCTCGAACAAATAAGGCCTTAAAAAAAATCCACAATGACATTATTACTCCTAAGAAAAAAAGTAATTAACTTAGTATTATCTACTATGTGGTTCATATTTAAATTTCTTGTTGTTTTGAAATGGCTTTTACAATTGGTTTATGCAATTGCATTTTTTTCTAACTCGTGTCTTTTAAGTGTTTTAAAAATCTACTGAACTTATAATGACTTATATACTGTATTTCTCATTTTATCTTTCTTCCAAAAGAGGAAATAATGGCAAACCATATAATACATTCACTGTCAAAAAGCAAACCCTTGTTTTGATAACTTGTTGATTGATAAAAGTTTTCCAAATTGATTCTTTTTTTTCTTAAATATTTATAAATGTTAAATTAAGATTTATCCTCGTATCTAATTGTCAAGAAAGTACATTGAAAAATGGACAAAATACTTGTGTGGAGGTCAAAAGAGCTGGCTTACAAGAGTTTTCTTCACATCCTCTCTCTATTCACCTGTAAGGAAACATCTCTCGCTTGAGGAAGAAAAGGGACCAGATCTGTTCAACCAAGGCACCATTCAGAAAGGGAGAATGTTTGGAATTCATTGTAGCACACACTTTCCCCTGCAGAGAGTGCGGGGAAGAGTTGCAGTCTTGTCACGTTAGGAGAGATTGAAGTCACTGCAGAAGCTGTGGCATACAGCCCAGAGCCCTTACCTGGTACCCAGCCGTCCCGCTGTGCAAAACAGCTCAGAACTACAAAAAGGAAAAAGGACCAAGGAGAGGAGGGTTTTCTATGCTTCACTGAGAAAACACGTGAGCAAAACTCTCAGGCGTTTTTTAGAAGCCATTAATACTAAGGTAGTTTACGTGTGTGAGTCAATGATGCCTTGTATAGGCAGCCAGCATGAGGCTGTGTCAACATGCCAATCCCTTCCCTTTGAAAGCAAATATTTTAATTGCTTTTGAAGGTGCAGACTTACTCTAAGGCTTAGTCCAATATTTTATGACCATTTGCTTTAATATAAACGAACATTCTGAGGGTTGTGTGTTTGTTGTTTTTAAGACAGGGTCTTGCTCTGTCACCCAGGCTGGAGTGCAGCGCTGCAATCACGGTGCACGGCAGCCTCAACCTGCTGGGCTCAAGTGATCCTCCCACCTCAGCCTCCACCATACTCGGCTAATCTTTGTATGTTTTGGAGAGACAAGGCTTTGCCATGTTGCCCAGGCTGGTCTCAAACTCCTGAGCTCAAGCAGTTTGCCTGCCTTGGCCTCCCAAAGTGCTGGGATTACAGGTGTGAGCCAGCATGCCAGACTTTATTTTCTTTATAACTTACTATCTTTGTAGGACTTTGTAACCTACATATGCTGCCATGCTACCCCATGTCTGTTCACTTTGATCATAAATTATGGCAGGTGCTTCCACCTGTTATTTGTTTAATCTTCAGGTAATCCTATTTGAGAGGCAGTGCTTCTCTTTTTCATAGGTGAGGAAACTAAATGAGGAGACTTTTCCGGGAGTTACTTTGTAAACTGCAGAACCCGAATTTAATTGCCAGTCAAATCCGTGGATATTATAAGGTCGACCTCTCTATGTATACAGTCTCTAAAATAAGTAGAAATAACTATTTCATACATAAAGAATAGTTTTTTTTTTTTACTTTTCAGAATAACAGTGTTTCTAGTTAATGTATGATAAACACTTCATATTTTTCATAAGATATTTAAGATGATAATATACACAGTTAAGGAATTTGTCTTGGCACAGCTGATTCATGGTAAAGGGTATTTATTAATATTTTACATTCACATGTACTATTACAGAATTTATTTCACAGTGTATATATACTTAAAAGTTGTTATTAGTTAATTTTGTTGAGCTATGTACTAGCAAAGGATAATTATTCACCTCTTAACTTTTGGTTCGAAGAATACATTCTTGGTTGAGCAAAGTCAAAGTCAAGATGTGAACTTTAAAAATACTAGACCTTGGCCAGGCGTGGTGGCTTACGCCTGTAATCCCAGCACTTTGGGAGGCCGAGGTGGGTGGATCACCTGAGGTCAGGAGTTCGAGACCAGCCTCACCAACATGGTGAAACCTTGTCTCTACTAAAAATATAAAAATTAGCTGGGTGTGATGGCAGGCGTCCATAATCCCAGCTACTTGGGAGGGTGAGGCAGGAGAATCGCTCGAACCCAGGAGGCGGAGGTTGCAATGAGCCAAGATCGTGCCATTGCCCTTGAGCCGGGGCAAAAGCAAAACTCCATCTCAAAAAAAAAAATTATTTTTAGTTAAAAATACTTGTCCTAAGGGCTGTTGCACATGGGCCATAGCGAAATGAGTGGAAATTAATATGGAGAGACCCACTAATTGAAGATTACTGTGTTCTTGAAGTGTATCAAGGCCAAAGTGCTGAGCACCGTGGCTCACGCCTGTAATCCCGGCACTTTGGGAGGCCAGGGCGGGTGGATCACGAGGTCAGGAGATAGAGACCATCCTGGCCAGCATGGTGAAACCCTGTCTCTACTAAAAAAAAAAAAAAAAAAAAAAAAAAAAAAGGCAAAGCAACTAAATTAGGCAATCCTTTTTTGAAATATACAGCCCAGCCAGGCACAGTGGCTCACACCTGTAATCCCAGCTCTTTGGGAGGCTGAGGCAAGCGGATCATAAGGTCAGGAGTTCGAAATCAGCCTAACCAACATAGTGAAACCCTGTCTCTATTTAAAAAAAAAAAAAAAAAAAAAAAAAAAAACCCCGCCTCATTTTAAAAAAAAAAAAAAAAAAGTGAAATATACAGCCCCATAGGCTAGAATTCATTGAAGGTAGGATTTACTGATGGGGAAGAATGATAATTTTCATAAGCAATGGCTGCACTACCTAAGAAATTGTTAAGAGATTTTTTTTTCTTCCCCTGGCCCCCATCCACAATCCAGGAAATTCCTCTTCCTTTCATCGTCTAGCAAACAGGTACTGGTGCCGGGGCATTACGCTGGGTACAAGATAATGCAGTGATGAGCAGAAAAGACGCGGCATGTGCCCACATGGAGCTTCCAGTTTTTAACCGTCAGGACTGGGTCATTCCAGCTGTGGTAAGTGCTTGCAAAGGAAATCCTGGAGGATTTCATCAGACGTTAAAGGCTGGAGAATGAAGGTGGGAGAGCTCATCTAAACGGAAGTAACAGCAAAGATCCTGAGATAGAGGCAGCCAGAACCTGGAAATCGAAAAGACCGGTGTGGCTAAATTATATGCATTTTAAGCAAAGACTGATTTGGTTACATTTACATTTTTTTAAAATGACGGTAATGTTTTCGTAACTGGGCTAGTTGGTGTGTGAATATTCATTTTGTTAACATGCTTTATGGTGTACATCTTTGTATATTATTTTGCTTTGGCGTTGTGAACTATGTCATAATATTTGTAAATTTTAAGGGGAAATGGATCGGGAGAAATTAGAAATTCTGGGAGGGAGTAATTTTTTTTTTTTGACGGAGTTTTGCTCTGTTGCCCAGGCTGGAGTGCAGTGGCACAATCTCTGCTCACTGCAAACTCCGCCTCCCGGGTTCAAGCGATTCTCATGACTCAGCCTCCCGAGTAGCTGGGATTACAGCTGCGTGACAACACTCCGCTAAATTTCTGTATTTTTAATAGAGTCAGGGTTTCACCATATTGGCCAGCCCGGACTCAAACTCCTGACCTCAAGTGATCCACCCGCCTCAGCCTCCCAAAGTGCTGGGATTACAGGCATGAGCCACTGTGCCTGGCTCAGGAGCGATCTTAGTGACAGTGGCTACTTTCAGAAGGATCAAGTGGACGAACCGGAGTGACATGGATTGAGACAGGGTGAGTGGGGGGAACGGGTGAGTCAAGGACGACACCTCGGCTTTTGGCTTTCACAGCTAATACCATTTAGCGAGCTGGGCGGGGGGGGGGGTTCCTAGAAGGCAGAATGGAGAAGGAAGTTAGTAGGCTTGGTTTTAGACAACATGCGCTTTTGAGATGTCCAACCGCAGCGGGCGGTGGGTTGTAGAGGCTGAAACTCCACTGTGCGCATGCTCCC